TTGTAGTTCTGGCCTCTATTTCATTCATCATATTATTTACTTGTGTGCTCTCTTTTAAAAAATTTTTTAACACTTCCATAAATTTGTAAATATTATTGCTTTTCACCTTATCAACAACCAAACTTTAGCTTTGTTGAACTTCTCCATATCTTTCTTTTATATTTTAAAATTTCTTTCATTTTTACTATTTATTTCTTTGTACTTTCTTTGCGTATTTTTGTTTTTCTAATTTAAACTAAACATTTCCTTAATTTTCAGCCTATTTTTCTAATAAATGAATTTAAGGCTTACTCTGTCCCACAAATTTTGCTAATAATGTATTTTTGTATGGTCAGTTGGAAGGATTTTCTAAATTCCATTATTATACTGTTTTTCTCATGCATGTTATTTACAAATGTGTTACATTTTGGGGATTAATTTTGAAATTAACTTTTTCATTGATGAATTTCTTCTTGGTTGCATTATAGACAGGCAATATAATTTCTATGATACCCTTGTTGAGACAGTTTTGTAGCCATGTTTGTGGCTATTTAAGTTTTCCATGATACTTGGGAAGAACTTATGAGCTTCAGCTTTTGGGTAAGTGAAATGTTTGTTTTATCACACTTGTCAAGTATCATAAATTAAGAAAAATCTAAAATGCTAAAACAAAAACACCTCAACATAGGTCTGAAGCAAATAGGAAAAGATTGTTCCCCACCACACTGACCCAGGGCCCCAGGGCCTCTGCCCTATGTGGTGATCATGGGCTCTGCTTCCTTCAACATGTAGTATCCAAGGACACACTCTAAGCATAGTAAACCCCAAGAGGGCAGAAATGTGTCAGTTTTCTTCACCTTTACTTTTCCAGACAGTACCCAGCACATAGAAAGCATTCCAATAAATATTTGTTAAATACATGAATCAATGAGTGAAAGACCCCTTTGTCAATCAACTTGTAGAATTTAATAGTCAGATTTTTTCTTTTTAAAGTTTAATTATTTTTCCAAATAGCAATATATTACGTGGCTCGAGTTTGATATGATACACAATAATATACCATGATAGTTCTCCCAGTCACTCAGTTCTCCTTTCTGGAGACAAATACTGTTAACAGTTTATTTATATTCTTTAGAGGTATTTGAGACATATACAAGCATATTTGCATGTGTACAGATGGTTCTTTCTTTTTTTGTTATCGAGGTGCTTAACCACTGAACCACACCACCAGACCTATTATTATTTTAAATTTGAGACAGGGTCTCACTAAGTTGCTTAGGGCCTCACTGAGTTGCTGAGGCTAGCTTTGAACTTTTGATCCTCCTGCCTCAGCCTCTCGAATCTCTGGAATTACAGGTGTGTACCACCACACCTGGCTAAGATTTCTTTCTTTCCTTCCTTCCTTCCTTCCTTCCTTCCTTCCTTTCTTTCTTTCTTTTTTTTAGTTATAGATGGACATACCTCTATGTTTTTTTATTTATTTGTTTTTATGTGGTGCTGAGGATCAAACCCAGTGCCTCACACATGCTAGGCAAGTGCTCTACTGCTGAGCCACAACCCCAGCCCCCTAAAATTGACTTCTAATACATTTTTCAATCACAGTAAAATGGCTTCTAGGGCTGGGGATGTGGCTCAAGCGGTAGCCCGCTCCCCTGGCATGCGTGCGGCCCGGGTTCGATCCTCAGCACCACATACAAATGAATATTAAAATTCTCTCTCTCTCTCTCTTAAAAAAAAAAAAAAAGTGAGCTTTTTGTGCCAAGCATGGTGGTGCTTGTCGGCAGTCCCAGCACTTGGGAGGCTGAGGCAAGAGGGCCACTTGAGCCCAGGAGTTCCACACCAGACTGGGTAAGAAAAAGAAAAGGCTTCTCTTCAATCATATTTATTTCCTTATTTCTGAATGTACTTGAGAATGTCTTTGGTGTCATTTGTTATCTAGACACTAGGGGGAAGTATACTACCATAAGAAGGAAGAAAGGGCCATCAGAACTGATACTCATGATTTTTCTCTGCACTCTACCAACTGAGCTATATCCCCAGTCTGGATGTACTAGTTTTAATCAATTAATGGATAACTGGCTGAGTTTTAAATCTATCATAAAATTGACTTACGGAGTTTGACATGGGATCCAGATGTGTTAGTTTATGGAGAAAAACACAACTGTAAATCAGTTCCCCCACCCAGACGCCTTGGTTATGCTTAGATCCTGCATTTACACAGGCCTCATTTCTTGATTTAAACACAAACTACAAAAGTAGCCTGTGGTATTAAAGTACCAATGGAGGTGGGCCTGATGGTGCACACCTATAATTACAGCAACTAAGGATTCTGAGGCAGGAGGATTGCATGTTCAAGGGCAGCCTCAGCAACTTAGAAAGATCTCATCTCAAAATGAAAAATAAGAAGGACTGGGGATGTAACTCAGTGGTAGATCACCCCTGGATTCAATCTGCAGGAAAAAAAAAAAAAAAAAACCAACAACTCTTACTTTCTCTTCATGTTTATATTTCCCCCTAGTCTATGTGTGTTCCCAGCCCTAGTATCCCAGTCACTCAGTTCTTGCCTCCTGTGGAGAGGGAGTACCTTATCCTTTTTTTTTGGTGCTGAGGATTGAACCCATGGCCTTGTACATGTGAGGCAAGTACTCTACCAACTAGCTATATCCCCAGCCCACCTTATCCATTTCTCCTATTGTCTTCTAATGAGGTTTCAGACACAGGCAAGGACTGGCATATATCTGTTTACTTTATTGAGCATCCTAAGTATTGCATTCCACAGATATTGTTCTATATGCATTTTTTCATTTTAACAATATACTCTGGAGGTAATTCCTTATCAATACATACATTAAGTTTTAACAGTTCTTTTAAAATTCAACCAGACTTTACTTATGTAAAGTGAACAAGTATTAAGTACTCAAATCTTAAGAGACTTAAGATTTTTTTAATACCTTTATTTTATTTATTTATTCTTTTGTGGTGATGAGGATCGAACCCAGGTCTCACACATGCTAGGCAAGTGCTCTACTGCTGAGCCACAACCCCAGCCCGACTCAATAATTTTTTACATACATCTCACATCTGTCAATACCAACTCTTTACAACACAGCGTGTATGCAGCTCCTATTGGCCCCATTTGTCCCTCTTGAAAACATCCCCTACCAAGTAGGCACAATTGTGACCTATAGTTGTGACTACAGAGAGATCAGTTCTTTTTTAATGGATGCATGGTATTCTGTTGTATGGATATAAAAGCCATTTAATTTCAATCTTTTGCTGTTACCAGAGATAATATAGTGACTATCCTTAAGCATATTCTACTTCTTGATTTGTCACCCTGAATTTTATGTGGGATGAATGTGGCAAACCCACATTCATCCCACATAAAACTCACAAAAATTTATTTTAAACAGGGTCTTTTTGTTCTACTTTTTATTGTCATTTTTTAATTTTTTCTGTATACATTCCTTTCTCTCCTTTGAATTCCTATTGATGTTTCCATCTTACCAGTCAGTACAAAGCACCTTTTCTTGATCTCACCTGTAAAGGATCTTTCAGCCTTTCCCACCTGAATGGAACATTCCAGAATGACTTGGACCTGGGTCTCATATCTCTTTGCATTTTTTGATATGACACAATAACTGGCAATTTCAGATCTACTTCAATATCTGTTCAAAAACTAATTTGTGTATCAATGTATTAAGGCTTATGAGTGTTACAAATACAGAATGTCCTGAAGGATCAAGCATTGTCTGCCAAAGAATTAAGCAACAAAAAGTACATATAATAAAAGACTGCATAGGGCAGACTCTTATTGCTTAGGAGTTTAATACCTATAGTTAGTGTACTTACCAAGGCTCCACCTAAGATACTATCCGGCACACCCACAGTACACTTATCAAGATCAGAATGTTAACACTGATACAGAAAACACTATCAAATCCACATTGCTCATGTTTTACCAACTGTGCCAATAGTGTCTTTTGGAGAAAAACAATGAAACAAAACATAATGGAAAATTCTTTCCTTTATACTCTTTTTCCTTTCTGGTCCAAGAGACAACCCTAAACCACATATTGCATTTAGCTGTCTGTGTAAAAAGAAAAAAAAATCTAGAACAGTTCTCAATCTTTTTATATTTCATGACCCTGCCATTTTTGAAGAGTAAGAACCAGTTACTTTGTAGAATTTTTCATGCTGTAGTTTGGATGTGATTTGTCCCTGTCAAAACTCATGTTGAAATTTGGTCCCCAGTGTAACAGTATTGAGAGGTGGTGGACCCTTTAGGAAGTGATTTGGTCGTTAAGAGAGATAAATGTCTTGCTTAGGGGAATGAGTTCCTGTTCTTGTGGGACTGGATTCATTACTGTGAGAGTGGGTTGTTACATAAATGAGTTTAGCTACCTTGGCTTTCTTTTGCTTCCTCTCTCACCATGTGATCTCTTCTGCACAAGCTGCTAGCCCTTCTGCTTTCTGTCCTGAGTTGAAAATGGCATGAGGCCCTCATCAAGGCCAAGCAGATGCCAGTGCCTTGGACTTGCAGGACTATGAGCCAAAATTAATCTCTTCACTTTAAAAAATCACCCAAGCTGAGGTGCTGTTATAGCAATGTACTGGAACATCTCTCATTTTGGGTTAGTCTGATGTTTCTTTAAAATTAAGTTCAGATTATATGCTTTTGGTAGTAATGCCATTGAAGAAATGTTCTATTCTTTTTTTTTTAACAGTTTTTTATTTTTCGGGGGGCACAACATCTTTATTTTATTTTATTTTTATGTGGTGCTGAGGATCGAACCCAGTGCCCCGTGCATGCCAGGCAAGCTTGAGCCACATCCCCAGCCCTGAAGAAATGTTATATTCTTAACATCATATCAGGAGTATTGTGCTGTTGGGGTTTATTTCATTTTGATGATGTTAACTTTGATTGCTTGGTTGAGATGATATCTGCCATATTTCTTCACCTTGATAAATGCACTCTTTAAATAATTCCAGAGACAATTATTATTATCTTCATTTTACAGATGAGGAAACTGAGGCACAAGACATAAACAACTTGCCCAAAGTCATACTCGTAGGCCAGGATTCTGACTCAGCTGGTCTGGCTCCAGGAATGCACTCTACACTACACAGAGGAGAGAGATTGTCGGGCTGGAAGACTTGATGGAGAAGCCTTAGAGGTTGAGTAATATCTGTTTGGCAGAATAGAGAAGGTAATGGGCCAAGCCCATAGTCCCTCTATCAGTTTGTCTGGCCTGGGGCATTGTATGCCCTGGCATCTGACATTACTCCAAGGGTACTTTTTGTGGAGAATTGGTTTAAGCCATGGCTGGTGCTGATCTGGCCTTCTCTCTCTGGTGTTGGAGGAGTCCAGCTCCGGCAGGGGGTCTCAGGAGAGAATGGATGGTGAGGAGGGTGAAGAAACAACAGAGACACAAAAGTGAAGGTGCTGAATCCCAATCTTTACTTGTGAAGTTCATCATATATACTTTTCATTTTGGCAGGCTCACAGTATTTTGTGGTTCAAAACAGGAATCATTATTCAAAGAAACAAAATATTACGTAGCTACAATTAGATAAGAAGAATGTATCTTGGCTTATGCATAAGCAAGCATTTTACTTTCTTTTTTTTAAAATATTTTTTGAGAGAGAGAGAGCGAGAGAGAGAATTTTTTTTAATATATTTTTTTTTAGTTCTCGGTGGACACAACATCTTTGTTGGTATGTAGTGCTGAGGATCGAACCTGGGCCGCACACATGCCAGGCGAGCGCGCTACTGCTTGAGCCACATCCCCAGCCCAAGGCTACTAATTTTAATCAAACAAGAGTAAGAGCACAAACCATTGTGCACAGGAACAAGAACAAGTTGCCCAGTACTAAGCACTAACCTGTCTTCTTAACATTAATTCTTCTTCTCTAGATTTTAATTTAATTTCTCAAAAACTTCCTTGACTGTTTTTCCTACAGGGTTTTTTTTTTTATTAAACATTAACAATTTACATTCTACAGATGAATCATTGCATTTAGAGCAAACAGATTTATTCTTAGAAGTAGTTGCGTTAATTGGGAAAGTCATGTTTTTTCCTTCATACTTAATGGTCATATGAGAAGTTGCAACTATACTTATTAAAGGAATACAAAAACAAACCAGCCCATTCCCAGAAACATACTGTGCTCCTCCAGAGGATGGACGCCTTGCGCCATCCACCTCAGTAGGGCCTTGCCATTGCCTGAGTCAGGGGAGGGGCGTAACACTCTGGGATGCTAGGACCTGGTTAGTTTAAGGTTACCTCTGCTCTGAGACCCCTTTCTGAGTGAAAGTTCCTTGTAACTGTTGAAAGATCAAATTTGAACTTCCTAGCTATATGTCCATTGCCTGCACTGTAGGAGCATGCTTCAGAATTTGCTGTAACTAGGTTATGAGTTAAGAGTCTTTATCTGTGATTTAATGTGCTATGTTAATAAAAGTTATCGATTATTTCACAAATAAGTCCCATTGTTAGTCAAATAAGTCCCATTAGTTGGGTTCAAGCTTTCTTGGACCAGAGGCAGGTCCCAGGCCCTGTGGTAGGTCATAGCAGACTTGATCCTGATTTCTTTCTTCTTCCCTCTGATTCTTTTGACCCCTGTGCTTCCCTAGCCCTTGCCAACCCTTGAGTCTCTTAGTCATCTGCTCTCACCCCACTCTGCAGGCTTCACAGAGTGCTTCTGACAAGGCATACCTTTGACGGCATACTTTTCCCCTGGCCTGGCATAGCTCCAACTGTCTACTCAGTCAAGTTTTCTCTGTTTCACAGCAGTACTTCAGATTTTTACTGCCTTATTTTGGGTTCCCCCAGAAGCAGAGCCTAAGGCAGGAGGGAGCTGGGGTAGTTATACACCAGCTTTTGTCAGTCATTGGTCAATGTTAATTCACCTGTATATCTGGACTGCTGTACATGTGAATTATAGAGCTGGCTCTCGTGGAGTAAAATGAATATCAAAATATTCACTTATTATGTGAACAATGTGGCCCTCTTAGGATGATGTGTATTCAAATGGGCTTGGGGTTCCCATCAAATTGCTGTACTTTACCAGCTCTGTGATGGTGATATGGAGGTCAATTTCTTCAAGTTTAACCTTTATCAGTGTGTAAAAATGGCATTAAAAAAATATCCAGGATTGGGGTTGTAGAGCACTTGCTACCATGTGTGAGGTACTGGGTTCTATTCTCAGCACCACATATAAATAAATAAAATAAAGGTATATCAACAACTAAAAAAATAAAAAAACAAAAACAAAAACAAAATCTAACCCTATAGGTAGCACAGAATAAGCAATAAATGTTAGATGTTATTTTAGGAGGCTTATGTGTACTAGTTAGCTATTAGAACAACAGTCCTTTGTGACAAACCATCTCCAGCTGTAGGGTGGTGTGAAGGCTCTCCAGACCCTCTCCCAAGCAAAACAACCATAAATGGAAAAAATTGTTTCACCATGATATATGATTGAGGAGATAGTTATGTAACCTTATTACAAATTATATAATGTATACTTATACCAAAACATTATATGGTACACCATTATTACATGCAATTATTATGTTTTTATGTATATGTTTTTTAATAGAGCCATTTAAAGTATTTGGAAATTCTCTTCAGGGTATACAGCCAATGAAACATTCATTCAAGAAATTTTAATAAATATTAATAAGAACAGTAGGATCCTATGGCACTGAACATATCTGTGTTCTCTTCCCTCCTGAAGCTTGAATCTGAGTAAATATGGTCAAGAAGATGGACTTTCTCACCACTCAGCTCCCAGGAGGGGAAGACTGCTGACATCTCCCATTTTCTCCAACTCCATGTTGCAGGAACTCTATTCATAAAGTATGGACAAAGGGTCTGGGCTCTTCTTTCTCCTATGAACACCTACTCATAAGGCAGAAGCTATACTCTATGTGTGGCTGTCCAAGAATCCTGGGCGCCAATTGACCTCACCCTAGCTCATTCATAGGATGGAAGTTCCACATTGGATGAGGCAACATCCTGCCAGTTCCTTGCAGCAAAGAGAGAAGGGGGTCACTATGGCTGCCCCTAGAACCACAGCAGTGGTGCTGAGGTTCTGTGGGGGGGCGGGAGGCAGGCCATAAGAATAAAGGTTTCAGTAGCTCTTCCAAACAGGATCAACTTTATGTTAAACAGCATGGAGGAGTTTGAACCTGATGGTCACCAGCTAATAGAAGGAAATGGTAGATCATCTTAAACTATACTACAGAGCAATAGTAAGAAAAACAGCATGTTATTGGCACCAAACAGACTGGTAGACCAATGGTACAGAATAGAGGACATAGAGACTAACTTACAAAACTACAATTATCTTATATTAGATGAAGGTGCCAAAAACATACATTGGAGAAAAGATAGCCTCTTCAACAATTGGTGCTGGGAAAACTGGAAATCCATATGCAACAAAATGAAATTAAACCCCTATCTCTCACCATGCACAAAACTCAACTCAAAGTGGATCAAGGACCTAGGAATTAAACCAGAGATTCTGGGTCTAATAGAAGAAAAAGTAGGCCCTAATCTTTAGCATGTGGGATTAGGCCCCAACTTCTTTAATAAGACTCCTATAGCACAAGAATTAAAATCAAGAAACAATAAATGGGATGGATTCAAACTAAAAAGTTTCTTCTTAGCAAAAGAAACAATCAGTGAGGTGAATAGAGAGCCTACATCTTGGGAGCAAATTTTTACCCCTCACACATCAGATAGAGCACTAATCTCTAGGGTATATAAAGAATTCAGAAAGCTAAACACCAAAAAACAAACAAACAAACAAAAAAACAAATAACCCAATCAACAAATGGGCCAAGGACCTGAACAGACACTTCTCAGAAGAGGATATACAATCAATCAACAAATATATGAAAAAAATGTTCATCATCATTAGCAATTAGATAAATGCAAATCAAAACTACTCCAAGATTTCATCTCACTCCTGTCAGGATGGCAACTATTATGAAGACAAACAACAATAAGTTTTGGTGAAGATATGGGGGAAAAGGTGCACTCATACATTGCTGGTGGGACTGCAAATTGGTGCAGCCAGTATGGAAAGCAGTATGGAGATTCCTTGGAAAACTGGGAATGGAACCACCATCTGACCCAGCTATCCTTCTCCTTGGTCTATACTCAAAGGAGTTAAAAACAGCATATTACAGGGACACATCCACATCAATGTTTATAGGAGCACCAACCTAGATGCCCTTCAGTAGATGAATGGGTAAAAAAAATGGCATATATATATATATATATATATATATATATATATATATATATACACACACACACACACACACACACACACACACACAATGGAATATTACTCAGCAATAAAAGAGAATAAAATCATGGTATTTACGGGTAAATGGATGGAGTTGGAGAAGATAATGCTAAGTGAAGTTAGCCAATTTCAAAAAAACAAATGCTGAATGTTTTTTTCTGATATAAGGTGACTGACTCATAGTGGAGTAGGGAGTGTGTGCATGGGAGGAATAGAGGAACTCTAGATAGGGCAGAGGGGTGGGAGGGAAAGGGAGGGGGAAGGATGTTATCAATCATGGTAGAATGTGATGGACATTATTATCCAAAGTACATGTATGAAGAAATGAATTGGTGTGAACATACTTTATGTACAACCAAAGGTATGAAAAATTGTGCTCCATATGTGTAATATGATTTGTAATGTATTCTGCTATCATTTATTTTTTAAAAAATAAATAAAAAAGAAATGATAGGTCATACACTTTTAACAAAATGTGGGAAAGATGCAGGTAAGGAGAGTTCTATCATGGTAGAACAAGTCTCAAAGGCTGATCTCAAAGGCCAGTCCCTTAGGGGGCCCTAAATTTAATTGGATCAGAACATGGGACATCATATGCCCAGTGTTTTCAAAAAGCAGTAGAACCCTCAGCTAGCAATCAGTGCAGGTTTAATCTGGGTATGATACCAATAGAGATAGATGAGCTATGAACATGGAACAGGAGGATTAGGAAAAGAAGTAGTCAGAGATAGCCTAGCTAAGACCACTGTCACTTCTGGATAGAGAAAGAGTTGGGATAAGTGTGCCAGTGCTAAACACTGCCCACTTCTGAGAAGTGGCATAGGAAGTCCACAGAAGGAGAAGTGGCATAGAAAGCTGTGAGGATAGCTTCAGGTCTGAGCCTAAGCAACTCCATTTTAAAAACTTCAGTTTGAAACCTGCAGTCTCACCAGGCACACCCACAGAGCCCTCCAGTATGGCCTCATACATGTTACTTCCCCTCACCCTGATAAATAGAGTGAAGCCCCTGGCAGGCTGTCCTTGCCAGATAAGAGGGAAAGCAAGAAGATCAGGGTGGAGACCTCCAGACCAGAAGTTTCTGACTCCAGGGTAAATGATGTCACTGAGAAATCTGGTGGTAGCTGATAAGGATTGAAAGGGGGTCAAAAGCCCCCAAATTTAGTATAAATATTAGAGCAAATGAACAGGGATTCAGCCAGCCAAAACAAGGATGCACTTGAGCTGGAGAATCTAATGAAAACCTGATATCCCATCACTTGTCCCATCACTTCCTGATCCTCTGCATGATCCTCACCGCTCTCAAACTCTACCACCTCATCTGGACCTTGATAAGAGCCGCAACTTCTCCCTACCATCCTCTTCTCAACCAGTCATCCATTCGGTGCCGGGAAAAGCCTGCCTTGGTTCTGGACCTGGTCACCACGGTCTGAGTGAGTGTGCATCTGCTGGACTTAAAAGCCTAATGCTTAAGACTTTTGAACTTAGCCTGCAGAGGGAATGTCTGTTATTAGCCTGTCATGATTAAGTGTGTTTGCAGTGCTTAGAATAAATCTAGAATTGTTTGCTGTGAATTGATTATGTCCACTACAGTACCTAGCATTAAGAATTGTCATTTTCTTGATTAACAACCTATACAGTGAAACTGTATTGAGTAATTTGGGTGAATAAAGCATTGAAAGGGGCAGAAGTGTGTGGACATTCTTTATTTCTCCCCTTGACTGCATACATCACAATTTTGCCCCCTTGTGACAGAAGCCCATGAAGTGGTCTAGCCAAGTCCCTAAACAAATATACAAGTAACAACAAGTCCTGAGGCAGGGGTGAGTGAGTAATGTGTCCAGAGTTGCTATTGCCTCAAATGTCCAATATGGAAGAAAATATTATGAGACATGCAAAGAAACAGGAAAGTATGACTCATTCACAGGGAAAAACAGTGGAAAGCTCACATGTTGGATTTATTTCAAATATAAATATGTTCTCTGAAAAATGTGTCTAAGACTCAAAGGAAAAATGACATTCCTCATAGAATTAGATAAACAATCCTAAAATTTGTGTGGAACCACACAAAACAAAATAAAACAAAACCCCACACCAAACAGCCAAAAAGAAGCAGGCAGAAAAAAAAATTAAAGAATCCATATGGACCAATCAAAAAAAAAAAAAAAAGAGAGAAGCAGGTAGCATGGGCATTACACTACCTGACTTCAAAATATACTACAAAGCTCTAGTAGTGATCAAGCATAATATTGGCATAAAAACAGACACATATAAATGTAACACAATAAAGTGTAGAAGTAAACCCACACACGTACAGCCAACTGATGTTTGATACAGGTGTTAACAACGTGCATGAGGAAAAGGACTCTCTTCAAATAAATTATGTTGGGAAAATTGGATATCCACATGCAAAAGAACAACACTAGACCCAGAAAAACTAGAACAAGACTATCTTTCATCATATAAAAAAATAAACTCAAAATGAATTACGGACTTAAATGTAAGAACTGAAACTACTAGGAGAAAACATAGGGAAAACACTTCAGAACACTTGAATGGATGAGAATTTTTTAAAAAATAAGACCCCAAAAGCACAGAAAACAGAATAAAAATAAACAAATGGGATTATATCAAACTAAAGATCTTCTACACAGCCAAGGAAACATTCATGAGAGTGAAGAAACAACATACAGAATAGGAAAACGTATTCACAAACTATACATCTTACAATTCTTTTAAAAAAATTTTTCCATATCTAATTGGTGAGTTATGATTGTACATAGTGATGGAATTTTTAAAAATTTGTTATATATGACAACAGAATGCATTACAATTCATATTACACATATAGAGCACAATTTTTCATATCTCTGGTTGTACACAAAGTAGAGTCACATCCTTTGTGTCTTCATACATGTACTTAGGGTAATGATGACCATTGCATTCCACCGTCTTTCCGACCCTTATTCTCCCTCCCTTCGCCTCTCTCCCTTTTTCCCCTTTGCCCTATCTAGAGTTCATTTAATCCTCCCCCCACATGCAGCATATTATGGATCAGCATCCTTAAATCAGTTCCTATTTCATTTCACTGCTTCAAAAATCCATTTACTATATTGTCCTTCGATAGAGGACATATCAGATATTACAGATACTACACTTGATCTTAGCCAAAAGGCCAAGAAGCAATATATCTTACAATTCTTATTCTGAATTAATATTTATTATACACAAGGAAATCAAACAACTTAACAGCAAAAAATCCAAACTGACTTTAAAATTGCCTAAATGGACATTGCTCAAAGGAAGATATTAAAATGGTCAACAGAGGGTGAGAGTGAGGGAGAGGGAAAAGGGGGCCAAATTCATCCTTTTATAGGAAATCCACTCCTCCTGCCCAAGTCCAGCGTGGGAGGTTGAGTCTGACTTCCTCTGCATGGAGTGACCTGACTGCGAAACACATCTAAGATAAAGAAGCTGCGAAGAAACCACATGATACGGAAGAAATTTTGAAAAGCGAGGTGCAGGACAGCTCTACAACCTTAGCTGCCAAGCTTCCACACTGGAAAGAGACAGAGATGGGGAGCCTACATTTGATTTATTTATTCAAGGGAACTTCAAAGGATTTCTACAGAATGTTCTTCCCCAAATAAAGGAGGAGGTGGACTGTCCAAACCCAATGGGTTATGCCCAATTCTGGAGCTACAAGAGCTGTCACACATTGGTAGAGCAAGGGCAGAGATCTCACACCTTGGACAGTCTACACACAGGAATGTCAGGATCTTTCCCAAGGGGAGACCTAAGTACCCCAGGCTCAGTACCGAGTGAAAGCCCACTCAAGTAGCTTCATGGGTGGTGCACCACACATTCCAGTGATAATGAGCTAGAGGAGTTGAAGATGGGATGGAATTGATTGGGATAGGTTCCAAGAGCTCCCTGAGGTGGTGGGGCATTATACATCTTGACAGGTGCACACACATTCCAAATTTGGCAATGACATTAATTCATTCAGTTCTCATGGCCTTATCACTTATAATTAGGACCCACCTCCCAACTCTGCTGTCCTGGGGATGAAATTTCCAACATACCTCTTTTATGGGACATATGCACACCATAGCAAGGGTTAATGTTCAAAGTATACAAAGAACTGGGCCCTGTGTCCCACACCTGTAATCCCAGTGATTTGGGAGGCTGAGGCAGGAGAATTGCAAATTCAAAGCCACCTTCAGCAACTGAAGCCCTAAGCAATTAGGGTGATCCTGTCTCCAAATTAAAAAAAAAAGGCAGGGGGAGGGGCCGGGAGGATGTAGCTCTGTGGTGAAGTGCCTGCCTCTGGGTTCAATCTCCAGTACCAAAACAGACAAACAGACAAACAAACAAACAGAAACCCCAAATTTACAAAGAACTCATTCAACTGAATAGCAAAACCAAAAGCAAGCAAAAAAATCTTTAAAAAAAGAGCAGAAGGGGCTGGGGCTGTAGCTCAGTGAGTGCTTGCCTCGCAGGTGTGAGGCCCTGGGTTCAATCCTAAGCACCACATAAAAATAAATAATAAAGGTATTGTGTCCATCTTCAACTGATATATAATTTATATATAACTAACTAACTAAATATATATATATATATATATATATATATATATATATATTTAGGTGGGGCCTAATTATAAGTGATTAGGCCATGAGAACTGAATGAATTAATGTCATTGCCAAATTGGAATGTATATATATATATATATATATATATATATATAGAGAGAGAGAGAGAGAGAGAGAGAGAGAGAGAGCGAGCAAAAGAACTTATAGACATTTCTTCAAAAAACACATGACTGGCCAACATATATACAGAAAGGTGCCAAACATGTCAATGCATGTCAAAACCACAATAAGAGGTTATCTCACATTTGTTGAGATTGCTACTTTTAAACAAGAGAGAGAAAGAGAACAAGCACTGGATGTGTAGAAAGGAAACCCATGTACACTGGGAATGTATATTGGTACAGCTTTTATGGAAAGTAGTGCAAAGCTTCAAGAAATTAAAAATAGAACTACTGTGTGATCCAATAATCCCACTCCTGGTTAAATATTCAAAGGAATTAAAAGAAAGATTTTTTTTTTTTTTGCTTTGTGAGGGATTGAACTCAGTGGTGCTTAACCACAGAGCCACATTCCCAACTCATTTTTAAATTTTTAAAATTTTGAAACAGGGTCTCCCTAAATTGCTTAGGGCCTTA